CTACTACTCTCTCTCTCTCTCTCTCTCTCTCTCTCTCTCTCTCTCTCTCTCTCTCTCCTCTCTCATACGTTAATTAATAAATAAATTGATATTTACGTAAAGCCTCCAATGCTTTGATGATACTTATATAGTTGACATGTCAATATCTTTCATGTAATCTTAAAACTTTAATTTATTTTTCTTTAATTTTTGTCTTATTTTGTTAGTATAAACTCACGCACGTATGCACAATGACACACGCGCGATTGGCAAGCATACAGAAGCTGATTTTTAAATAGCGTTCTTGTTTTTTCAAGTGCAAAGAGTATAAATAGAGCGCGTATACAGATGTCGCCTACGTAAGCATTCTGATACGCATGCAGGAGAAATTGTGATCTTTTTCAAGGTGCGTTTTATTTGCATTCTAGCGATCAAACCAATTGCGTATCCATTTGATTTCCCATATGCAAGTGCCCCGTGTTCGCGAATCTTCGATTCGATCGCTTCATACTTTAAAACTGGATTCTTGCCAAAAGCGTACGCGGCCGACAACGTTTTACGAGTCACATTACATTTGCGTGTGAATAACACTTTAACATACTAGAGCACGATCGCAGAAGTGAGAAACAAAAGGAAGCGCATGCTACTAGAGCACTACTAATTACTACGTATACATTATATTAGCATGTATATAATTTTGATTTAATTTCATTTAATTTATATCATTTTGTTTCGACAAAAGCTAATACGGTTTTTTTTTATCTTTTTGTATAGGAAATATTCCATAGAAATGTATACTGTATATTGGATAAATCAATACATCAAAAATAAATAATTGATTTGCCGTTTGATTGATAAGATTACTTGTAACTAATTTTATAAATGCTTTGTTATATATAATATTTGTCATTTATAACTTGAAATTTCAATTGGAACTTTCTGGATTTAGTTTCTCGTAGCACAGACAAAAAATAACTTGTCACCGATCAAACATTCGATTGAAGTAACATATATGTATATATTTCGTGTTGTGTGTGTGTGTGTGTGTGTGTGTGTGTGTGTG